TATCAAAGTCATAAACTGAGGCAATTTAAATTTTAGGACACTTTCAAAAGATAATGTATATTATATATATGTAATATATATTATATATGTTATCTATAATATCTATATATACAATAATATATACTTAGGTTTGTTAATACAAGGATCATGGAAGTAAAACAGATAAAATAAATATAAATGAAAATACTTTCTTCAAAAATTGACATACATGTAAGTCTACTTGTCTATCAAGTTCCAATTCTGTAGTCAGTACCAAGAACCCTTCATAGATGTACAAGGTTAGCTTTATATCTTTAACCTTCAAACAACTGATGATATTTTCTCTTCTCCCTCTCCTCTCCTCTCCTCTCCTCTCCCCTCCCCTCCCCTCCCCTCCCCTCCCCTCCCCTCCCCTCCTCTCCTCCTCTCGTCTCTTCTCCCTTCTTCTCCTCCTTCCCTCCTTCCCTCCCTCTCTCTCTTTCTCTTTGCATGTGGAAGTCATAGACCAACCTTGGGTATTCTGCCAACAATCTTGAAGGTATCTACGATCTACTGTAACTGGAAACATTCTATAGCTTTGTGATTTTTTTTTCTCATGTTACCCCCCGCCCCACATTACTGAAATGCAACAAACTCTGAGCTTTGTAAGTCTGCTGGTGATACCTCCAGGGGCTCTTCTTCAGTCTGTCTTAGAAAATCACCTCTGACTTCATTACTGTAAAGATACATACCTCATGACTACCAGGAATAAAACACAAAGCTTATCCAGGTCTCGGAGAATTACACATGTACAAACTCTAACAGCTTGATTAACCCGACAGGATCAACTCAATACCTCACGGCACCTCTACCTGAATGACTGTCATAAATCCATGTGTTTCTTGGCTCTAAGGTAGACATTAGACAGCAATGGTATCTTGTAAACTACAGCACTGACAGGTTCTATGTGTGCACCCATAGTTCCTTCCTTAGGTTTAAGTTCCTTCTTTAATTATCACCTATCTCAGAGGGGTGCTTGTGAGGTGGCGTGAAATACTAAAGGCAAGCTTGATGACTCAAGTTTGAACTATGGGATCCAGACAGTGGAAGGAGAGAACTGACTCTGACACATGTCCATGGGATGTGTATGCTCCATGTATACACATGCATGTACATATATGTACATACACACAAAATAAAAACAATCTCGAAATAATTTCTTAAATTTATTGATAGTAATTTTGCAATTCTTATTTATTTCCCAGTCCCTATTTCTCTTTAAAAAATTTCAAAATATTTTCTTTTATGAATATAAATGTTGTGTCTGCAGGTATACATGTGCACCATGTGTGTGCCTATTGCCTATGAAGGTCAGAAGTGGGCACAAGACTCCTTGGAACTGGGGTTTGAGAGCTACCATTATCTGGGGAGCTGAACCTGGGTCCATCTGCTAAGCCATCTATCCAGTCTGCTTCCCTCTCCTTTGAAATGTTTCTGTAATTCCTCTGACCTACACAACTTCAGATGTCTCCAGTCAGTCCCTGTCTATTCAATTGCTATGTATAGCCTGTTGGTGAACATTCCCTCTGTCATTTCTTTCTTTTCAAGATTTGCTTATCTTTTGGGCTTTCTGGCTCTGGGACTCTGCTTATTGCTCTTGGCAAAACAACTACTTCCATCACTGGAAATGAGACCGAGGAGAACTATTTCTGAGCTGTGGCAAAAGCATGCTGCTGGTAAGTTTGCTCCTAGTTACTCAGGGTAGAATTGTAATGGCTGCAAGTAAATCATAATCTGAGGATTCTACATCAAGGCTGCTTTGCCAAGTATCTTTACATATTTGCTGCTCTTTATTGTAAAATATCTTTTCTGGACAGGAACTTGCCATTTAACCTGGGTTGCTGTGAACCTTGTGATCCTCTGCCTTAAGCCTCCTGAGTGTATTGGGAACTGCAGAGAATACACTACATATATACTTAAGCAAGAAAAGTAAGAAGGAATTTAAATTAGTCTATCCAACTAAAAGAAAAGCCTTCATTCTAGATCAGACATTTAACTTAATCATGTGTTGTTATCTAGGTATTTTTGTTCATTTGTTTATTGTTGGGTGTGCATGCGTGCATGCAATATGTATGTATGTTTGTAGGTGTAGGGGTGTGTGTGCGTGTGTGTGCATGTGCGTGTGTGTCTGTGTTCATGCAGAGGCAACACCACCATGATGGGTGCCCTTTTCTATCACTCTCTGCCTATTCCTTGAGACAGGGTCTCTTGCTGAATCGGAAATTCCCTAGTTTTTGTTAAGCTGGCTGGCCAGCCAGCTCCTGTGAGGCCCTGCACTGGTGTTAGAAGTGCATGGCCATATGTGGGAGCTGAGATCTGAATCCAGGTCCTCATACTTGTGCAGCAAGTGCTCTCAGCCACTGAGCCATCTCCCTAGCCTAGTGTCTCAATTTCTAAAAGGTGATTCCCCTACTTAACAGGCTTTTAACATTAACAGACTCAGCACTCCTACTGACCGCAGGTAAAGCAGTCTATACACCTGAGCCCCAAGCCTCCATCCACCTCTCTACAGCCCACTCAGGGGTCACATCATTTATCCTGCCTCCTCATATGCGTAGGTGGACTAGTCTATTCTGGATCACTGCTAACGATGTGAAGCATTGGCAAGCCTACTTTTTGAGGGGTTCAACTGTTTTATAGTTCATTCTCTATTTAAGATCTTTCCTGCTCTTCCTCTGTTCCAAGGCTTTGTGATAGATTCTTGTATTAAACAAACCATTTTCAAAGCTATGGTATTAAACAGTGTCAAAAAGATGTACTGGGTGAATTTTTATAGAGAACAACATATACCTTACAGAGTCACATAACCACAGTGATCAAGTATTTTCCGTATTCCAGCCTTTCTTCTCTCTCCCTCCCTTTCCTCTTGCAGGCAATCAACCCCTTATTCCTCCTGGGCTCCAGACAACCAATGGTCTGCTTTCTTTTAGTACCAACACAAAGAACTGTATATACACAGTTTATACTTTTTATCATTTGGATTCATCCTTGCTGTTGTGATTGCTTAATTCTTTGTCCCTTTTTGCTGCTGAGTAGACTTCTACTGAATACATAACATTTATTTACCTAATCACTTTTGACAAACATTTTGGTTGTTCCCAGATTGGAGTTATTATGGACAAAACTGCAACACATACCTATCCAGGTCCTGACATATGCTTTCTATCTTCAAGTTCTTTGAGGCAGGGTCTCACTATGTAGCCTTGGTGGGCCAGGAACTTGGTGTATAGACCAAGCTTTAACTTAGAGAGATTCACTTGCCAGCTATTTTGAGATAGGGTCTCTCTCTGTGGCCTAGGCTAGCTTAGAATTCACTCTATATAGCCTTGGCTGGTCTAGAAATCATGGCAATCCTCCAAAATTATCCAAGTTTTGGGGTTATAAGCTTGAGTCAGCACACCCACCTACATATTCTCTCTCTCTTTTTTTTTTTTTTGACTTAAATCTTGGAATAAAATTCCCAAATCATAGGCTAAGCATGTGTTTAACTTTGAAAGCAGATAGAAATTTGTTTACACACACACACACACACACACACACACACACACACACACACACACACACACAGACACGAGAGAGAGAGAGAGAGAGAGAGAGAGAGAGAGAGAGAGAGAGAGAG